CTACAGCTAGAGGCCATTTGCAGCTTTTTGCCCTCTTCTTGAATGTGGACTGTCACTTTTTTCCCCGACAGGATACATGAGATTGTGTCTAGACAGTCTCACTGGGGAGCAGGGTGGATATCGCCCCAAGGGGGCAAAAATTGGATCTTTGGCAGGTGAAAAAAGTCTTAGCTATGACAGTGGTTTGTGGCCTTCTAAAGGGGCATGGTACACGGACAGCTCTGTAGTACACCTGAGGTGCTAAAATGTCACGGGAGGGGAGGACAGTTATGGGGGAAAAATGTCTAAAGCTCCTTAGGAGAGAGAAAATGGTGGGGGGGGGGCGGGTAGAAAAACAATGACCTGCAAGCTCCCACTCAGGCGAAGCTGTGAAAGTATTTTGGATGCAGCATGTCAGGTTGTGAAATACCAACAATCCACATCACTGGGGGAGCCCTGTGGAAAGAAGAACGTGACCGAGAGAATGTCCCCTCAAGGACCAACACACACAGGGCCTCCCTTCTATTTATGAAGAGAAGAGCGAGTGGCAAAGACTGGACAGGGGCTCAAATTAACAGCCGGGCCGGCCCGGCCCAGAGGCCACTTCTGAGCTAAGGCCCCTAGTCTAGGGCCTGTGGGGCCTGTGAACAAAGCGAGACCTTGCCCTGTCCCTGAACGCCTGCCTGTCTCCTGGGTCACGGAAATAGGTCCTTTCTCATACCTCTGATGGCATTAGACTCTCCTGAACCAAACAGTTGACTCTAAACCTTTTGCAGTAATTATAGGAGAAGACTCCAAGGGGGCTCAGAACAGGCCAGGGCACCTGTATAAGCACAATTTTAAAACTTTGGTCTCAGGGAAGGAACACCCTGGCTCAGGGAAGGGACATTCCTAAAGAGGCCAGAAAATCTATTTCCAGTGTTGGAGGAGACTTTCTACAGTGGGGCTCTTCGGATGCCTTCTCCCAGATATTCTCAAGTATCCTGGGAAGATGTTCAAACGGGATAAGGAGAAAGAGAAGCAACCACTCTTGGGAAAAGTTTTGTAAGTCTCGTGTCTCGTTCTACATGAATGTCGTTATGCTCTATTAAAAAAAAAAAAAAGTACTGTTTTTAAAACTCTTTCTGTAGAACCAAAGTGTGATGATTGGAACTTTGGCCCTTCTGTTTTTCAGAATCCCATAAACAGTGTCCTCAAGTCAACCCACTGTCACCATTTGGGGAGAGTCGACTTAAGTCTTTCCACAAAGAAAGTAAAATTACACTTGGTGTGAAGTAAACAGAACCAAGATTTCTATCACTGAGATGTCAACCGAGCATGAGTCTACATCAGCTGGTTCTAAAGACTTTGATCTGGAATTTGGATGTGGTTGTTTCCTTCCCCCAAAGATATCCCACCGTCCATAACTGTTCAAGGTGACCGAAAAGTCAGGAAACTTAGGATAAACTTGTTTGTTTTTTGTTTTTAGTGTTCATGGAAGGGTTGGGAACACGTGGGTGTGGCAAGAGTGTCTGGGGGGTCAGTGGGTATTTGTGGAGCCAGTTGGGGGTGCGTGCTCAGAGGTGGTGGGAGTGTTGGTGTGAGGGCTGTAAGGGGACGTTCGTGTGTGTGCCTGTGCACGTACGGGAGGGCAGTGATGTGGGTGTGGGTCTGTGGGGGGTGTGCCAGGACAAACTTAAAATTGGTTGCATTAAAAAAAAAATGCTCCATACGTTTTCAGGCCAAGAACTCTAATGGATCTAATTGTTAAGCTGAAACATGACCATAAATACCTTCTAAAGTGTATTTAGACCCAAAAGTCTTGAAACCAAAAGGAATGTATTTGTGGCATTTTCCAGATTAACCATGGAGGTACTGCTTACACTTTAGAGGCACACTGCGTGAGAAGGATATCAGACCTAAAGACTGAAAGAAAAGCAAATTGAGCAGAGTATCATAAAATGTGAACTGAAATGTGAACTGACATACTACTTAAAAATATGTTTATTCTGGGTTCCTGATTTTTGAGGATGCCCTCTCTGTTACACACAAACTATAAGATCCAGAATTCTTGAGGGCTTTCTGTACATGGAATCCTATTAGCTGCTTTGTCTATGTTATTTAATCTTTGTTCAAGAACCTCTGGGTTCACAGGTAATACCCTAGCCAGTGGATTAAGAAACTGAGGGTCACAGAAGGGGTAGTAAACTCGAATGCCAACAGAGATGATGTAAATGATCAAAATAAAGGTCACTGCCCTCTAAAGAATGATCAGTTCAAGCCAGTTGTTGCTGGGTAGGAATTCAGGCCTAGTTTTGCCAGATTGATCCATTTTTCCAGAGAAACCAGAACTCTGGATTTGTGCCGAATCTTCTGATTTTTAGATGTTAGTAACTGATTCCATTTTTATTAACTCTGTGTTGGCCAAGCCAAACAGATCTGCAAAGCAAATTAGGCAGCAGGCCTCTAGTTTGAAAAATTTTGAATTCCAGTAACCTACTAAAGTTTGATTTCTTTCTTTCTTTTTCTTTCTTTCTTTTTCTTTTTCTTTCTTTCTTTCTTTCTTTCTTTCTCTCTCTCTCTCTCTCTCTCTCTCTTTCTTTCTTTTTTGGTAACTTGCTGAAGTTTCTCACACCTGGGAAACAATCGGACAAGTGAGAACCCAACTCCAAATGGAGTTCCTCTCTTAGGACCCTACGGAGGTAGCAGCCCTGGATCAAATGCAATTTCCTTTAAATGATTCAACTTCTCAAGCCCCTGGTTCTATGGAAGTCCTGGCCCTGGGAGGGGAGCAAGCAGCAAGCAGGAAGGACTCTTACTGGGCCACGCTGAGCAAGGGGGTGTGGCCGGAATTTTAGCTGTTAAAACCTTCACAGAATGCAGACTTTCCAAGGGCTACCTCCTGTCCACCTCCTGGACTGAATACCAGCCAAAGCAAACCAGGAAGGTCCTTCCCTCATTTCTCCCCCCTCCCCGAGACAATCTAACTCGAAGCCGTATCAGAAACTTCCAAATGCGCAAGACCTACACATCTCTTAGAGTATCCTTTCCACATGCCTTCTTTCGTGGGAGTATGCTTCCCACCATATTTACAGAGGCCGAGGTTTTTGTTCGACCGTGTCCTGGTATTACAGAGCCCCCAAAACATAAATAAGACACCTGCATTCACCATATCACTAGTTCCAAAGGACTGACTGTAGCATTTAAAATGGGATTAACATTTCACTTGGTTTTCCACTCCTGACTGTGTAAAAGGTTCTCCTGGAACAGCTGAGCCGACGTGCCTTATGGAGAATTAAAGAGCACCACGCATGCACGCACACATAAGAAGCCATTTCTATAAATGCCTGACAAGATCACTCAGCTGAATGGTTCAGAACTCCGGGATTCTTTTTTCTAAGTCGCAAAGACTCAGGTAGCTCACACAGAAGCACTGGAGGTTCCCCAGCTACCCGCCTGGGCAGCTCCCTGAAGGAGAAAGTGCCTTTGCTCAAGGTGGCAGGCAGTGAGTGTCCCTGTGAACAACTGAACTCCGGGAACATGGCTGACGAGGCCAGGCCCGCCCAACAGCTGTTGGTGAGTAACACCCTCGGGTTAATATACCCCTACTTGACCCCAGGGAAGTCACGCTAGAGGTCGCATCCCCCAGCTCAGGCACACATCTGCCTCTCAACAACCTTACAGATACAAACTTGAAACTGCTGTTTTGTGGCAACTTGGGGATGACAACCCCAAACAGAGCCTGATTTTGCATTAACCATGGAGGAAATTCAGCTTTACTCCTTTGCCAGCAGCCACCTCCACAAGAAACACGTCCAGAGGAAATAAAATCTGAAATGCAGTTACGTGGCCTTTCTTTTAAGAAGCAAAACCAAAGCAGACCAACCAAGGATCATTTTAAAACCACAGGCCCAGGGCCTCATCTTAAAAGTACCAACAATTACACCCCAAAATGACAATACTTTTCTAAATAACTCCAACAGCCTCTTAAATATGGTGTCCTAGGATAGAAGGAAAAGAAGTTCCACGGAACGAATGAAGCCCTGTGCTTCCTTATCAGAACAGCAGTTGTAAAAAGAACCTTACTAAAGATGGTGAGATAGCAAGGCCCAACCCTTCCCAACTTTTTCCGAGTGTGTTAAACAGAACCAGCAGAATCGGCTGACCAAGGTTCCCCCCTTAAGCCTCCAAGCCCCGTTCCGTACTGCATATGGCTTTCTGGCCACATTCCTTGGGTCAGCCCTTGCCTTCTGCTGTCCCTGGGAGACACCCTTGCACGAGGCCTCCAGGCGTGTTCTTTACAGAGCCTTGACCTCAGACAAGGGCCACACCTCCTCCCTAACTATTCAGGGGAAGGGTGCCACCAATCATGTGGAAAGGAAAAATCAGCTCGGAAACCTCATTACAAAGGCCAACTAATCATGAAGTTAACCCACCGACCCATCACTTGATCAAACTCCGGTGCTGCCTGAAGCGGTGTTATTTTAAACCTCCCCGGGGACTCTTGGCCAAATTTAAAACCACCTTGGCAAGCCCTGAAAAGTAGCAAGCATACGGCTAAATGAGTCCTTAGTCATCCCTAAAAGGCTCCATGTAAAGTGTGCCCTTCTCCCCAGGTTTTGGCCATTCCGCTGCAATCCCTCCACAGAACCAAATAAGAGATACGCCACTTGACCTCCCCAATGCCAGCGTCTGCCCGGGTGGGGGTGGCCCCACCGTCGCGGGGTGCGGGAGTCCTGGGGGGGCGGGGCGGGAAGGGCGGCACCACACTCCCCGCGAAGCCACGCACAGGGGCTGGCCCTCGACACTCACTCTGCCCGCCAGGTTAATGCTCTCCATGGCTTCCAGAGGCTGGAGACAATTAAGGAGAGAGCGAGCTTTCCGTCTCTCTACACGGTTCAATTATTTAAAGAGTTAAACAGCATCTCATCCAAAATGTTGGCACCCTTGAGGCCGAGCGTGGTGTCCTTAACGCCCAGGAAGGCCGCCCGGCCAAAGGTTAACTAACCCCAGAGCTGGGTGGGAGAGAGAGGGAGACGCCGCTAACCTGTATGCACTCTGTAATGGGCTTTGAGATGGGAGGATTTTCCATAGACTTTCCCACAGCCACTGTAGGGGCACTTGTGCCTCTTTTCGGAGGCGTGTTTCCCCTTCGCAGCCACTCCAGGGTGGAGGAGGGAGAGCGGGCTGGGCGCGCTGCCAGGATCCTGTCTCTCCTCCGGGCTGTGAGAAGGACTCGACCCAGATTCGGTGGTCACGTCGCTGTCGGATCCCATATCCTCATCCGGACTCTCCAGACTGTCGCTGCACACCGAGGGGGTCTGGATGGGTCGGTACTTGTTCAGGTCCAACAAGCTCTTGGCGATGGTGACCAGCGTGCAGTAATCCTTCCAGGTGTCCCCCGGGTCACCGTGCTCCTTGGTCACCTCGCGCTCAGGTAGTCGCAGTCGCTCGGCGTCCGGAGCGCCCCCATGCTCCGGCACCGCAGCGCGGTTCGAAATGGAAACCAGACACTGGGCAGCCACGAAGTCCATGTAGGCGGCCGCGGACATGGTGCGGGCGACAGCAGCCCCGGCGGCGCGGCCGAACTTGGCGGTGGCTGCGGAGGTTCGGCTCGCCCTGCCCTGGCCTCGGACGACGAGCGCGGCGCGGCGCGGCGGCCAAGGGGGCGGGGGCGCGGGGCGCTTCCGACTCGCAGGAGCGCGAGGCGACCTCAGCCCCTCATCTTTACGTAACCGG